CCAGGGGACGCCGAATGTCTAAGGCCGGCACTGCATATAAATATTATTTGTTAATACGCTGAAATGATAGCTATTTTAATCCGTTACGCAGTCACCCGTACATTTCATTCTATGCTACAAATTTCGATACCTGTAATAAATAACTTTTTGTGACAGTTGTTAACATAAACGGAGCTGAATTTGTTTACGAGTTTTTGCTTGTTTGTCGCCTGTAATGTATACTTCAGCGTTACTTATGGGAGCTACTGGGCTTCAGTTTTTTTTTTTCATATAATGAATGACTAACCGAGTTTTGTGTACGTTTACCAGGCTTTTATCGGATAAACACGCCTTTGTGATTTACCGGTGCTCTAACAGTTTTGGCGCCTTTTATGTTTTGAATTCATTTTTCAAAAGCTCGAATTGCTTATACAACAGTATTATTGTTTATGATCCGCTCATATACACAACAATGTGTACAAATATGCTAGTAAAAAAATTTGGGTTTGCTGAAAACAGATTTTTTGTTAATAATTTGATTATAATATGTATAAGTAATAAATAACTTTTCAATGTCAATATCCAATTTTAAAACTATTATAGAAGTATTAAAAAATGTATATATATTAAAAACATTTATAATAGTACCGTGTTCCTCTAGGACATGCAAAATTGTAATAAAATATTAAAGGTAATAATTTATTTTTGTTTTAAATTTATTTAAGGAAAATATTTTATTTAATTTTCATAACATTCAATTTTGAAGAAATATCCGTTATTAAAATCAATAAGCGTCGATAATTAGCATGTTTTGACTTCTCTTTATCGTAATTGCATTCTTTAATATATATATATATATATATATATATATATATATATATTATATATATATATATATATATATATATATATATATATATATATATATAATAACCAAAAAAAGTTATACAAAATATAGAAACATGTCTGCAAATGGCTAAACATATTCTAAACTTACATTGTCAGATTATATATTAATAATATAATGATAAATAATCCATTTAAGTAACTATCAGTTTGTCGGTTGTCGGAAGCAAAAATAATTATCAATCATGATCAGATTAAACTTATTCCCGAACAAAGTTAATTCTTTGAGTTTTTTTTTTTTCATTTGATGAGCGATAAAGCACTTCTATCATGCAATAGACTTTTCTTAAACCTCCCCTGTACTAAATTTGTACAGTTTTAAAATATTTTTGTTTGGATTTAAAAAAAAGGTTAAATTTCATAAATAAATAAATTAATTTGACCAAAATCTAGACTAATATAAAAATACACAAATTTAGACTCAAAATTATGTATATATTAACAAAATATGATATAATTGAAATAGTGAATTGCTGTATTATGTTGGATTATTTTTTGTGTTTGTGTGAGCTCGACCTTGGTTTACATCGATACCACAAAGGCAAAATTTAAATTTAAATTTAAATTGAATTAATGATGATGGATTAGACGATAACATCGAAGAAGAACGCACACAGATAAGCATAGCCTTATATTTTATGTGTGCCGACGTCTAGGCCCAAGTTGCTGGCCGTTTTTTTTTTCTTTTTATCATGAATCATAATAATTTTCATTAGTCCTGATAAAGGCCTGTAACTTATTCCAAAGCCATGAAAATATAAAATATAAGTTTACATTTATTTTATGTAGTGTGCTTTCTTCTTAGATCATTAACCAATTTTTTGACTGACATCTACACACAGCAATATCTCCAGCTTTATGCAATAAATAACGATTCACTGATTATATGGAGATAACCAACGTAGCGTTATTATTAAATCGTGTTTATTTGTTTTTAATAAATAGAAAAATATTATAATGAAATAATATATAATAAAACAGGTTCTATATAAATAATTATAACAATCCATTCCGATAAGGTTCTATAAAAGTACTTATAAAAATTAAATGAACCATGACTTATAAAATCTGAGATCCAACAAACAATATTATAAAATATATTATTGTAAATCAAATTAAAATAATAGATTATATAAACGAGTTAATATTTAAAAATGGGTGCCAGTAAGTTAAGTTATGTAAAATTAGAGATCATTAATTATATGTATATATATATATATATATATATATATATATATATATATATATATATATATATATATATATAATTTTATCATCAAACGTTAGTATTAAAAATATTTTATTATTTTTTTCTAATCAATGTTTAATAAAATTTAAGCTACAAATAAAAAAGGTAAATTATATTCAAAATTATAATATTAATGTATATTAATAATATTATATATTATGTAATATTTGAATTTGATTTTTTTCAACATTTCTCGAATACAGCTTTATTTATCAGTCTATAAATAATATCAGCATTACTAATAGGCTAAAATAAAATATTTTATTATTTTTTGAATTTTGTTACATTTCTAACAGGTGGCGAGCGCCTTTGAAAATCGGCCGGCGCCCCAACGGACGCCCCCAGATTGCTTCGTTGCCCCACACTAAAGTCGGCACTATATGTATATATATATATATAATGATGTAGAGATGGTTGACCGTAATATATATATGAGAAGGAGTTGATCTGAGAATGCGGTCAAATAAATACTAAATTTTAAAAAAATATTAATTAATTAATTAAAAAATACTATTTTTTTAATTTAGTGTTTATTTTAAATATAAACATTTAAATATAAACTAAATTTTAAAAATTAATTTATAAAAAAATTATATTTATATTAAAAATTTTAATATAAATATAAAATACTAAAAAAAAATTAATTAATTAATTAAAAATGCCATTTTTAAAATTTAGTATATATTTGACAGCACCCCCCGATCAACATCTTCTCATATATATATATATATATATATATTTTTTATATATTTTATATATATATATATATTACAAACTTCATAAACTCTTATTGTTGCTTCTAATAATAATCAACTGCTTAAAATTTAGATAATATGTGTTTTCCTCAATGTCTTAATCAGAGGCCATCCATAATTAGAATAATTTAATTTAAGTGTGGACATCATCACAATAAATTATGAACTAGTTATAATATTTATAAGATAAGAGTAAGTGTTATAAGTGGACTTCTGACATTAACTTGTTAATTCTTATCTCCTTTTGAACACACAAACAAAACATAGCTAATTCTCAACGATAGTATCCGAAGTGTTAAAGTGTAATCTCTAATCCACTATTCACAGGTTATCTTGAATTTTTTTATTGTCTTAAACTGCGGCTTTTTGTTTTATTTATTTATGTTTTATAATAAGAAATAGGATAAGTTATTCATTGTAACAATTTTCAGTTATAATATACATTCTTTATTTTTTAAATTTACTCAAAATTATAATTTTGATTTTTTTATAACTGCAAATAACTTAATATTAAATTGCCGACTTATTTCGAAACGTCAATATGATATCAATATATAATATAATGATTTAAACAGATTTTTAACCAGAAACAATAGGCATTATTAAATAATTTACTTAATGTAACAATATTATTATTGCAAAATAGTAACTTTTTAGTCCGTATCACATTAGTAATTATAACATTTTAAAAATATTTTAAACTGAATCAGTGAGCATTTAAAACCAAAAGAAATAATAAATCTATACCATAAAATCAATTATAAATATAATTTTTATTTATTCAATATTTATTGTAAAATTATAATTAATGAAATATTGTAATTATGTAAGAACTTACAAACAGATTAATTATAAAATGGATATAAAGGAAGGAGATGTTACGGAGTGGCGGTCATAAATAGGGTAAATAGCGGCAAAACTATTTTAGAACTGGACAGTTCTAAGTGAAACTCCTAGCTGAACACACCTACCTGAAGAAGACCTGCAAAGTCGGGTCGAAACGTTGTTTTTCCACTATTTAGCCTATTTATGACCGCCACCCCGGACTATCTCCTTCCTTTATAATGCAACGGTCAACTATTAAATATTCAATAAAATGGATGTATTTTCCAATTTATTTATTTTAAGCTAATTTTACTCCAATTTTTAATTCCGTCAGCTTAATGACTAGAACATCTTTATTTCGATGTTTTGGACTTACATGCGAATTACATGCGTCTATTCCTAATAAAATGTTTCAATCTTGTCATGTCCACCTTGTGTCACCCACATATTGTCGGTCTCATTTCTATTCAGTGACTTTAAATTGGCTTAAAATAAATAAATTAGAAAATAAATATTATGCACCGAAGAAGAAGAGAAAAATATTAAGAACAATTTTTATATGTATAAATGACATAGCCTATATTTCAAAATTATTTTAATTTTACTCATTTATTATTATAAACGAGTTGTTAACTGAATATAACAATTTAACACTAATCCAAATTCAACAAAAAAATATTGTACTTAATAGAACTAAAACTTTGTTATTTTGATTTTATATATTTTATCTTTTCTATCTACTATCTACATATAGTGTGGTGAATGTTGTCTTACCATACTATAATTATTGTCTAAATGACAGAAAAAAGAATAAAATAAAAAATTAACATTGTCATTATGAAGATTTTTTGTTATTGTTTTGTCTAAATGTTTTAATAATTTTATTAAATAAAAAGTATATATATATATAGTTAGCTGAACATGCTTTTCGGAATATAATAATTTTTAATTTTTAGTATTTTGTTTATAGCATAGTATTATATATATATATATATATATATATATATATATATATATATATATATATATATATATATATATATATATTATATATACATTTATATATATTATATAGTAAATTCTGTATAGATTATATATAGTACCTATATGAATAGAATTATGAGTAGTATACAATTTATAGTATGGTTAATGATTTATAGAAAAGATAAAATAGGGAAGTAGTTATAAATAGTAAATAGTTATAAATAGTAACAGTTATAAATAGTAACAGTTACAAATAGTAAAAGTTACTAAGTTGGACGACATAAAAGTGATAAAATACTCACGTTATCGGTTCGCGGAAAAAAGGTCTTGAAGAGAGAAACCACAAGAAAATCCCTTTACACCACTCGAGAGGTGACTAACCGTACAGGTCGAGGCGTGAGGGGCGGGCGCCGCGCGGTGGTGGGGGCAAAGGCCACGCCCACAACATGGCGCCGCTCTGTTTACAGGCGGCTATTTACACAAAAGCTCCACCACCCCCGCCCGTACCACCCGCGGAAGATGCTGCCATCGCCGCATCTTGTTTGTAAACAGTCTCATATAATCTACGATCTTTGCATTTATAAACAGTAGAAACGTACGCTCTCATTTGTAAACAAATTTATTAATTACGGATATATTATATAAATGCAAATTAAATCCCACTGATAGTAAGTAAATGGTAATCACGTAAGAAAAACGGTGAAGGTGTTTACGTAAGCACATTGGCTGATCCACGGGGGAGGAGCAGGGGGTGAGTGAGCTTCTGGGCTGAAGCTCCATAAAATTAAAAATATATATAAAAAATGAAGATGCTATAACGATATATTCAAGATTATAGCAAATATTGAAAAATAATCAATGAAATACAACTAATATAATATTGGCTAAAGCGCTCTCGCTCGAACTCCATTGGCTTTAGCACCAGTGAGGTTGTTGAGAGCGTAGGGCAGGGATCTCCTGGAATTCCCTCGCCTGATTGTAAATAGTGTATTCCCGCATAGTGTATATGTAATACATGTGCTTTTTCTTAGTTTTAATTTTTGTTTATTTTTAGGTTATTTTATTTTATTTATTGTATATACTTTTTGATTATTATTTTGCTTCTATTTATTTTATATATTTTGTACATAGAGTGTGAATGTTATCCTACCTCACTATAACAAGTGTTCATGTGACAGATTGTTGTAATACTCAATAAATAAACAAATAAAAAAAAAAAAATATATATATATATATATATATATATATATAAACAATATTAATCGACGAGAAAAAAAAATGTTCTACCTGGCGGTTTTAAAGTCACTCCATCCCAGAAATCTAAAACCCGAATGCGCAGGCTGATTTATGGGGAGGGGTCTTTTGGGCTGAAGGCCCCCTCCCTCCAGATGACAAAATATGACCATTTCCAATGAAAAAGGTTATAACAAATTATCTCTAGAAGTATTATTTTTCGTGTAATTATATTTAATTAGACTTCAAGAATCACTTAAACACTATTTCATACCGGTTGTTAGGATCTTTCTTCTTCTTCAAACTTAATAATCCTTGTATGTTAGTTATTTTACCACCACCTCGGCCTATCTCCTTACCTAATAATATACCACGGCCAACCATTAAGTATTCATTCATAACTTTCAGTTTCAACCGAAACTCCATACTGCATATACGCTCTTGAAGAATACCTGCAAAGTCGATTCAAAACGATGGCTTGAAATAAATTTTTTTTTCTCAATATTTTAGTCTTTTTATGACCGCCATCCCGGACCATCTCCTTAGTTAATAATATGCCACGGTCAAGCATCAAGTATTCAGTAAGCAATGTTTGAATTTTATTTCAATCAATATGCCTGTAATTCATTTGCTTTATAAATACACTAAAATTAATCATTCTTACACAGTTTGTATTTTTTTTTATTCTGGAAAATGGCGGGCGCCCACATACTGGTCGTCGCCCTTCCAACAATTTCCCTGTTTACCCGGGCGTAAGGCCGTCCTCGAAGTGCGGTGGAGTGGGAGTGTAGATAATCTTTGCACAATACTAAGTTTTGTATTTCATATTAGGGAGTGGGGTAGCTCAGTGGTAGGGTACTGAGCTTCCAATGCTAAAGGTCCCAGGTTCGAACCCTGGCTCATGGCAGAAAATTTATTTATCTGTATCATTGGCCGGGGGGCGACCCTGGGTCGGGAGACCCTCCTGGGGCACACCCAGCCTCTATAAAGTGGGTACCCTTAATTAAATAATTGGTTAAGGGGGAAAAACCTGGCGGTTGAGCGTGATCTCGGCCAAATTACCTCCTTGCACAACCGTTGACCTGGAAACAGTGCTTTCTCTAAATAGTACTGAACCCCAGACCCTTCATGGGTTGTAGTGGTACAGGTATTTCATATTACTAGTAGGATATTTTTAAGAATCACTGTACGAGTATGAGAAGTAATGATATAATTTCTATGTAGTAACATAATTTATACTTCATTATTATACAAAAACATATGATAATTGCCAAAGAGCTACAAATAAGTTAGTAAAAATATAAGAATATAACACCAAGTATGTGCTATATATTCATCTACCCCCATAAAATCTCTATTATTATCGATTTGTTGAAGTCAATTTTAAGTTGTTTTTTTTCACTTTAACTGTTAATGTTTTAATATAATTTAACTTTTATAATTTAAAAAAATCAAGAAAAGTAGAAATCGTTCAATAAAGTAGTACTTTTCCCTCATTTTGGTTTGTAGACAGGTGAAAAGAGATGTAATTGCTTTATTAATTTATTTAGTTCCAGGGAATAAATCGAATCAACAAAGATGATGTAGAGCTGAAATGCTGATAACTGAAAAAAAATATTGCAAGATAGGGAGAGATGGAGAAGGATTGATAAGGCAGCAAAATATCTACAAGGTCTCTAAAGTTAACAGAAAAAAAAAATGCGTATTTGGAAAAAGAGAGTGTAATTTAAAATCAATTGAACTTTTGAAGTGATTTTTATATTTTATTTTTTATAAATGTTTGGCGAATTTGATAAATCGAAATATCGGAGTTGAGACTCACTGAAGGCACTCATTTAACACTAAATTGATTCACATACAAATTCAGATACATAGAGAAAACATACAAATTAAGTGGGGCCCTAGAGGTGCTCAAACCCTTATAATCCGGAAAACCTGCCAAAAACCATGTGAATATACCGAAATTTTGAATAAATTACACCTCTACTTTTGTGGCATTTACCTCAACCGTGTTCCAAAGGTTAAGGAACGGATTTAAAATGTATCTCCTCCCCTCTAATGACCTTCAATACTGTGCAAGAGTCTCGGTAAAATACAATGGTATTATTATGGTTTTCCTGCAAAATACGACAATTCTTTTTATTTATTTATTCTACTATATGTGCAACTGTATTGTGGGATATACAGCAAATCTGTTATTCATCGTTTTAACTTGATTGATATTACCTTTGAACTTTTTTTAATATTATTTTTCGGTAGCAGATCTTTTGGTCATTTTCATTTTAACCTGGGTCGACCAGATAAGAGGGAGTATGAAAGTGTATTTATTGTCTAGATAGGATTTCACTGTTGGAATTTACATATCGTTATGTATGGTATAACATGAAATACACCAAGGTGCGTCTACAATTTTCAAGTATTTTGGATTGTGTTGTTTGTAATTTTTTTTCGTATTTTTACCATAAACTTCTGCTCCGTATGTCCAAATAGAGTGTATCGTCTCGCCAGTTCTAGTTTTTTATTTTATGTGTATGTTCCAAGTAGGTCTCCTGTCCGAGTACAGTCGAGATATCTAGCACACGTTTTTGAAAAAAAAAATAGATTGTTATCGGTGGATATAAGAGGAAAACTGACAGGCCTCGACTTTGTGCAATTTATTTTAAATTTTCACTAGTGAAACCAGTTTTCAAATTCAAATTAATGACTCAAAAGATAGAAGGACAATAGATACTATAGTAAGATTTCTATGGGAACATATAATTGCTGTACCGTCAGCAAAGTTAATATTGCTCAGGGATAACTGAGGTTTAATGGAGATAGAGACGAGGGCTTAATTCGTCCAAACTATAAATTGGAAAATGTGAAATGTTTTGTTAAGTAATGATATTTAGGATTCTAATATTTCTCATTTCTTGAAACTTAAAAAATCTTCAAATTAGTAATATTATTTCCTAGGAATTCAATCATTTAATGTTGGCTAAAATTTGCCTTCTCTTCTCTCTTGTGATATACTTCTGCCCAAAATACTGGAGTGGACTAAGCTATAAACGGACTAAGCCCTAATAAGTGGTGAGCATTTCGAAAGATCCTCCCAAAACAAAAAGTTTATAAACTTAGAGGCCTTAATTTTTACAAGATTATTTTATAGAGATTTTTTCAAAATCATCAAGATACTGTAATGTCATTTTTTTTTACGTATCTGGAGGATAGATGTGAAACATGGGACGCTTTTAATTTAACGCCTTAATTTTTTCCCTGACTATAGAGACCAGAAATTTAGATTCATCTACGTTTTCTCGTCATATCTATATCTCTATAATCATCATCGTTTCTGCCATTTACCATTCGTTGATGCATACCTTCACCATATTAATGTTACCTTCTTCATTTCCTATACCAAATACCTCCTTCAGTAGCCAATTTTTCGTAATAGCTTTGGTTGAACATTTATTTTTTATTTGTATCAATATCTCTAACTTTTTTTTTTTCGGAACTAGAATCTTTTTAACATGGAAAATTTTAATTAAAAATGTTACACAACATTTATTTTAGAAAACCTTTACACCAGAGTTTTGTTACAGAAATCCTTCTTAATATGAGATTCATTCAAGTGTAATCTAATCCCAATTACTGATTATTTTTCATTTAACACAAATTATTTAATGTACTTAAATAAATAAGAGTTATACTTTTACTTTAAACCCTGAACTGTCTTACAAAATATTCTCCAGGATTTTTATTTTAAAACTTTTTTTTCAATAAAAATGTCTCATCGTAACTTTAAAAAAAAAAGTTTGTAAATTGTCCATTAACGTTTTAACTCCTGCTTTATTTTATTTTACGTAATATTAATTGTTCATCATCTCGTGGGGTAATAATTTTATTTTTTTAAATATATTTTTTACATTTTGCAAGTGATTGAACCTTTTATTGATTTTTTTGTCTTCAAAGTGACTATGTTTATATATACCTTATATGTTCCCAGCTATTATTATTAGGTTTAAGGATGGGGAACTATAGTACTTCTTCGCCAGGAAAGTTTTTGGTGTCTGCCAATAAAGAATTCAGAATTTAACTCTGAGGGACTTTTTTTTTTAATTTTATTTATTTTTTATTGACAGTAATTACTTTGGTGGGAAAAA